AGGTCATCAGTACCATGAGACTTACACTTAGGTCTGTGACGCCTGATCACTTTTTATGATCTGTTAGGTCATCAGTACCATGTGACTTACACTTAGGTCTGTGACCCGTGATCACCATAGGTCATCAGTACCATGTGACTTACACTTAGGTCTGTGACCCCTGATCACTATATATGATCTGTAAGGTCATCAGTACCATGCGACTTACACTTAGGTCTGTGACCCCTGATCACTATATATGATCTGTAAGGTCATCAGTACCATGTGACTTACACTTAGGTCTGTGACGCGACCCTATGATCACTATGTATGAACTCTAATGTCATCAGTACCATGTGGCTTACACTTAGTTCGTTTTGATGGTCATAATTGAATTTACACTTCAATAGCAGCAGGTTCATGAGTACTGTTCGTTGGTTCAACCTCATTCTTTTTAATTTTCGAAAAATTGTCCTAAATATTATGTTGATATTGATTGTTGAATTCCAAACAAACATGAGGCATAATCGATGAAACAAGAGACCAAATTTATCTAAATTATACCGGAAAAAATCCAACAAAATCACTGTTACAGCAATAAAGCTGAGTAGGTAAATGATACTGTGGCTTCTCTGTCCACACTCCTGGTGTACTTCAGTAGTAATGTTAACATCTCCAGGGTAGGGGGAAAACATCAAATTATTTGATTAGTGAAATATTTGCCTCTACATGTTTGTGAGTGGTGAATATATATGGAATAATAATTAATGATAAAACAGGTACTTTATTGATCTCAGTTTAAATTATAGTATTGATTGTGTGTCTAAATTTAGCCGCCTCGGCTAACACAATACGTTCCACTCGGGACTACAGTGGAGTGGTAGCAGGTTATACTGTATTGTGTTTACCTGCTCCTGTAGCTAATGATCAGTAACTGTCTACCTGCTGGACTGTGTTGTATGTAAACATATCCAACATGTGACAATATTATACAACATTCTATTACTGGTGCTGTGTAATACATACAGGTATCAAAAAACACCAAAGCATAATTGTGTATATAAGATTTAAATAAAGATGATTACCTAATAAGATTTGTACTAGAGTAAGATCTGTGTAGATGTGTACTAGAGTAAGATCTGTGTAGATGTGTACTAGAGTAAGATCTGTGTAGATGTGTAGTAGAGTAAGATATGTTTAGATATGTACTAGAGTAAGATCTATGTAGATATGTACTAGAGTAAGATCTGTGTAGATATGTACTAGAGTAAGATCTGTGTAGATATGTACTAGAGTAAGATATGTTTAGATATGTGCTAGAGTAAGATCTGTGTAGATGTGTACTAGAGTAAGATCTATGTAGATATGTACTAGAGTAAGATCTTTGTAGATGTGTACTAGAGTAAGATCTGGCTAGATATGTAATAAGAGTAAGATCTGTGTAGATATGTACTAGAGTAAGATCTGTGTAGATATGTACTAGAGTAAGATCT